CAGGGAAGGCAGCATGGCTCCCTCCATGGAAATCCAGCTACCACCCCTCCCCCCCCCAGGCTAAAGATAAGAAGGGAAGGGGGGATACATAGTTTTTTTTTGTTTTTTGTTTTTTTAAATACATATTTATATAAACACTGTGCTATTTACACTCACACACAGCACATTCATACTAACACCCTCACACACAGACAGCACCCCCCACACACACAAACACACACACAGAGCACCCTCACTCATACAACACACTCTCACACAGCACACTCACACACATATACAGCGCACATGTATGTATGATATATAAAATAACCCTCAGTAAGTGTAATGACATGAAGGGGTGCTGCCCTGGAACAGCACTGTCACTTTAAATGTGGGAACCAATACAGCAAATAAATAAATGCCAAGACACAAATGAATAGGGTAAATCAAGATTATATATATATATATATATATATAAAAAATATATATGAATACCGCACTCAATGTTGTAAAATAATCAACCGTAGGTAAAGAAGTGCTATAATAGAATTTATTATGTTCAATTCTTTAATGTCTAGTTATATAACTTAATATGTGAGATTATGATTTGATCAAAAGAATATATTACATCATATAGTCAATCGCTATTTACACAAATAACCTCCATAGGTGTTATATAGATAAATAATTAATGTATAAACACAGTTGTAAGTATTTCTGTTTGCAAAACTAAGGAGAACCTATCCATATGGATAATAGTCGAATCTGTGGTGTTCTATGTACATAGAAAAAAGAAAAAAGAGAAAAAAGAAGAAAAACTGAAAAAAAATGAAAAAATGAAAAAAATGATGAAAAATTGAAAAAATATAAAAAATAAAAAAGTATACAGATAATAAATGTCCTGATGTACAATAGTCCAGAGAATAGTGCACTTTTAGATAATAAATAGGTGGATCTCACCAAGTTGGATATCCAGATGGATTGTAGCCTTAGTAGCAACTGGAAAAAATGAAGACTCTGTGAAGAATGGAAAAGTGTCTATTGGAGGGTTTTTTAAACCTGCTGAATTCCTGCTGTGCGTTGAAAAGAGGACTCAATGAAGGTGTCAGATGTGGTCCTCATATGTCTCCCTCAAAGTGTCGTCACAGTACATGGGCTGCGCGCTCGGGACATCCACGTCCCTTCGAAGGCCCCTGCAATCTGTTGGAGAAATAAAATCATTTATATATCCTATCTTTGGCGGCAAAATCTCGCCGTGACCTGTAGAACTCCCCCACTTCCGGGTTTCGACGACTGTGTACGTGCGTGATTACGTCATCATATTCAAATGTATCTTTATTGTCCATATCAAACTGCACACGAACAAGGGGTGTAAATGAAAAGTCAATGTTTAATTGGTAAAATCCGTGATGAGGAGGACCCTAAGATAATATTGTTAATAACCATGATATGATTATATATATTTAAGTATTAGACTGTGACAGACCATGGATAATAGATAGTTAATAGTTAACAAAAGATTTAATGATCAGTGAGCTAGATAGGAGGTAGCCCCACCTGGGGAAAAAATCATAAAATAGATTGAATGATATAGCATAAATTATGTATCCTCATACTGCTGGAAAGTACTAATGACTAAACAGTGCCAAAGTAAAGAACAGCATAGAAAGGTGTACTCCTACTGGGGACAATATATAAATATTAAGATATCTTGGCTGCTAATGTGAAGGAATCTATAAACATATATATATGAATAATTGAAAATAGAAATATACATCTTGTATCAAAAATGATTTAAAGAGACAATTATTAATTTAGAAAAAATATATAATTAGAGAAATGGAGAAAAAATATAAAAAATTGAAAAATTAAAAAATTAAAAAGTAAAAAAATATGAAAAATTAGAAAATTTAGTGATATATGACACTCTGCACATGTAACTCACCGGTCATGTAATAACTCTCAGTAATCCTGGGCTGTGCATGTGAGGGACCCTGCTGTATACACAGGTGGCGGACCCAGATGGGTCATAGGACAGCGATCCAGAGCGACGGACCAATAATGGTCTAGAGAGGAAACTGTAAGGAGCGCAAAAGGGGGTAAAGAAAACCAACATGAGCCAATAATGTGCATAGTGAACCATATTACAGAAAATGTTTCAGGTCATAGTCCTCATTGAGACCTAATGGTGACAACGTTTCCAAGGTACTAATCCATTTGGTTTCCCTTTGGAGTAAGAGTTTCTGTCTGTCTCCACCTCTGCGTAGTGGTGGAATTCTATCTATAACTTGGAACCTTAATTGGTTCACATTATGGCCACAAGTTTTAAAATGTCTTGGTACTGGTGCTTCAACAGCATCATGCTGTAATGCTGCCCTAATGCTCCTCTTATGTTCCCCTATCCGTTCTTTGACCGGCCGAATAGTCTCCCCCACATACAGGAGACCACACGGACACTTGAGTATGTACACAACAAAATCTGAGTTACAAGTGTAGAAGTCCTTCACAAAAAACTTTTTACCAGATCGGGGGTGAACGAAATATTCCCCCTTGATCACACTGCTACAATGTGAGCAATTAAGGCAAGGGAAAGTGCCTTTCTTTGGTTCCGAAAAAAATCTAACTTGTTTTTTGGAACTACCTATATCTGATTTGACCAAAAGGTCTCTCAAATTAGGAGCCCTCTGGTATGAAAATAATGGAGGGTGTTGGAATATTGACGGTAATTGAGAGTCACCCTCAAATAGTCGCCAATGTTTGAGTATTACTTGTCGAATGTCCCTATTTAGCGGGGTAAATGGTGTTACAAATGTTAACCTCTCTAATTTCCTATCCGTTCCTGTCCCTACTAGGGTTTCCTGTCGGGTCAGTTTTTCAATTTTTTGTCGTTGGCTCTCTACTATCTGTACAGGATAGCCCCTCTCTCTGAATTTGTTGGCCATAAAGTCCAATCCAGATATGACTTTCTCCTCTTGCGAAACTATTCGTCTCACTCTCAGTAGTTGACTGAAAGGTAGACCATTTTTTAGATGCATGGGGTGAAAACTGGCATATGTCAATAAGTTGTTCCGATCAGTTGGTTTTATGTATAAATCACTGTGTAAAGAGTTATTCACCCTCTGTACCAGGACATCTAAAAAGGGAACCGAATTCATGTCACAATACATTGTGAATTTGATGTTAGGGTCTTGTGTGTTCAAGGCCTCATAGAAGTCCTGTAATTGGGCCCTCGAGCCGCTCCAGCACATGAAAACATCATCTATATATCTTTTCCAAATTACGCATTTCGCGAATAGGTTATGTGAATAGATACTCATCTCTTCTAAACGGTTCATGTAGATGTTTGCATATGTTGGAGCGACATTTGAGCCCATGGCAGTTCCTTTGATCTGTTTGTAATATTTGTCTCTAAAGAGGAAATAGTTCTCTGTTAATATGAAGGTAAGTAACTCCCTAATATACTTTCTAGTGTCATTCTGATGAATGAGAAGGGGATCCTTATCTAGCGTCCAGTCAACTGCCTCTATTCCTCTATTATGGTCTATGGACGTATATAGTGACTGTACATCCATGGTGACTAACCAGAATTCACCTGGCGGGATCTGTATATCAACTAGTAGTTTAAGGAAAGTGGTAGTATCTTTAAGGTATGATTTCTGGGACGGAACATATTTAATCAAAAATTTGTCTAATATCTCTGCTGGATGTTGAAAAATAGAACCAGTCCCACTAACTATGGGTCTCCCCAGAGGGGAGTTTATATAAATTTTTCAGACAACTCAAATTACGTGCATTTTTTTCCACAGAACATACGACAGCTCCTTTTAGCAGTATGAGTACTCAACACATACAGGGGACCCAACCAGTGGAAGAAATTATGGTGGGACAAAACATTTCACAGAATGATCCTGATGGGGTCCTACCGCTTGAGACAGGTTTGAAACCTAAAAGCACTTTTACACCACACAATGTTAATGCATCAATTGATTTATTTACCAACCTTGTGAAAAAAGATGTATATAAACTGAGGAGGAAACACCAACATATACATAAACACAGACAACAGACTGTAAATTTCACTAAACAGGATTGGGCTCATATCAATAATTTAAAAAAAGACACATCTATCATTATCAAACCAGCAGATAAGGGAGGAGCATTGGTGATTATGGATCGTATTTATTACGTGGGAGAGATTGAGACACAACTAAGGGATAATTCCAACTATTTGGCCATCAATCAGGACCCCACACACAACCTTAAATCCATGTTAGATAAGCTCAATCAATGGGCATTATCGAGAGGTATCATTTCAGACGGAGAATACAGATACATGAATCTTAAATACCCCAGGATTCCAGTTTTTTATACTCTCCCAAAGATCCATAAAAACCCACTCTTCCCTCCGGGGAGACCCATAGTTAGTGGGACTGGTTCTATTTTTCAACATCCAGCAGAGATATTAGACAAATTTTTGATTAAATATGTTCCGTCCCAGAAATCATACCTTAAAGATACTACCACTTTCCTTAAACTACTAGTTGATATACAGATCCCGCCAGGTGAATTCTGGTTAGTCACCATGGATGTACAGTCACTATATACGTCCATAGACCATAATAGAGGAATAGAGGCAGTTGACTGGACGCTAGATAAGGATCCCCTTCTCATTCATCAGAATGACACTAGAAAGTATATTAGGGAGTTACTTACCTTCATATTAACAGAGAACTATTTCCTATTTAGAGACAAATATTACAAACAGATCAAAGGAACTGCCATGGGCTCAAATGTCGCTCCAACATATGCAAACATCTACATGAACCGTTTAGAAGAGATGAGTATCTATTCACATAACCTATTCGCGAAATGCGTAATTTGGAAAAGATATATAGATGATGTTTTCATGTGCTGGAGCGGCTCGAGGGCCCAATTACAGGACTTCTATGAGGCCTTGAACACACAAGACCCTAACATCAAATTCACAATGTATTGTGACATGAATTCGGTTCCCTTTTTAGATGTCCTGGTACAGAGGGTGAATAACTCTTTACACAGTGATTTATACATAAAACCAACTGATCGGAACAACTTATTGACATATGCCAGTTTTCACCCCATGCATCTAAAAAATGGTCTACCTTTCAGTCAACTACTGAGAGTGAGACGAATAGTTTCGCAAGAGGAGAAAGTCATATCTGGATTGGACTTTATGGCCAACAAATTCAGAGAGAGGGGCTATCCTGTACAGATAGTAGAGAGCCAACGACAAAAAATTGAAAAACTGACCCGACAGGAAACCCTAGTAGGGACAGGAACGGATAGGAAATTAGAGAGGTTAACATTTGTAACACCATTTACCCCGCTAAATAGGGACATTCGACAAGTAATACTCAAACATTGGCGACTATTTGAGGGTGACTCTCAATTACCGTCAATATTCCAACACCCTCCATTATTTTCATACCAGAGGGCTCCTAATTTGAGAGACCTTTTGGTCAAATCAGATATAGGTAGTTCCAAAAAACAAGTTAGATTTTTTTCGGAACCAAAGAAAGGCACTTTCCCTTGCCTTAATTGCTCACATTGTAGCAGTGTGATCAAGGGGGAATATTTCGTTCACCCCCGATCTGGTAAAAAGTTTTTTGTGAAGGACTTCTACACTTGTAACTCAGATTTTGTTGTGTACATACTCAAGTGTCCGTGTGGTCTCCTGTATGTGGGGGAGACTATCCGGCCGGTCAAAGAACGGATAGGGGAACATAAGAGGAGCATTAGGGCAGCATTACAGCATGATGCTGTTGAAGCACCAGTACCAAGACATTTTAAAACTTGTGGCCATAATGTGAACCAATTAAGGTTCCAAGTTATAGATAGAATTCCACCACTACGCAGAGGTGGAGACAGACAGAAACTCTTACTCCAAAGGGAAACCAAATGGATTAGTACCTTGGAAACGTTGTCACCATTAGGTCTCAATGAGGACTATGACCTGAAACATTTTCTGTAATATGGTTCACTATGCACATTATTGGCTCATGTTGGTTTTCTTTACCCCCTTTTGCGCTCCTTACAGTTTCCTCTCTAGACCATTATTGGTCCGTCGCTCTGGATCGCTGTCCTATGACCCATCTGGGTCCGCCACCTGTGTATACAGCAGGGTCCCTCACATGCACAGCCCAGGATTACTGAGAGTTATTACATGACCGGTGAGTTACATGTGCAGAGTGTCATATATCACTAAATTTTCTAATTTTTCATATTTTTTTACTTTTTAATTTTTTAATTTTTCAATTTTTTATATTTTTTCTCCATTTCTCTAATTATATATTTTTTCTAAATTAATAATTGTCTCTTTAAATCATTTTTGATACAAGATGTATATTTCTATTTTCAATTATTCATATATATATATGTTTATAGATTCCTTCACATTAGCAGCCAAGATATCTTAATATTTATATATTGTCCCCAGTAGGAGTACACCTTTCTATGCTGTTCTTTACTTTGGCACTGTTTAGTCATTAGTACTTTCCAGCAGTATGAGGATACATAATTTATGCTATATCATTCAATCTATTTTATGATTTTTTCCCCAGGTGGGGCTACCTCCTATCTAGCTCACTGATCATTAAATCTTTTGTTAACTATTAACTATCTATTATCCATGGTCTGTCACAGTCTAATACTTAAATATATATAATCATTTAATGGTTATTAACAATATTATCTTAGGGTCCTCCTCATCACGGATTTTACCAATTAAACATTGACTTTTCATTTACACCCCTTGTTCGTGTGCAGTTTGATATGGACAATAAAGATACATTTGAATATGATGACGTAATCACGCACGTACACAGTCGTCGAAACCCGGAAGTGGGGGAGTTCTACAGGTCACGGCGAGATTTTGCCGCCAAAGATAGGATATATAAATGATTTTATTTCTCCAACAGATTGCAGGGGCCTTCGAAGGGACGTGGATGTCCCGAGCGCGCAGCCCATGTACTGTGACGACACTTTGAGGGAGACATATGAGGACCACATCTGACACCTTCATTGAGTCCTCTTTTCAACGCACAGCAGGAATTCAGCAGGTTTAAAAAACCCTCCAATAGACACTTTTCCATTCTTCACAGAGTCTTCATTTTTTCCAGTTGCTACTAAGGCTACAATCCATCTGGATATCCAACTTGGTGAGATCCACCTATTTATTATCTAAAAGTGCACTATTCTCTGGACTATTGTACATCAGGACATTTATTATCTGTATACTTTTTTATTTTTTATATTTTTTCAATTTTTCATCATTTTTTTCATTTTTTCATTTTTTTCAGTTTTTCTTCTTTTTTCTCTTTTTTCTTTTTTCTATGTACATAGAACACCACAGATTCGACTATTATCCATATGGATAGGTTCTCCTTAGTTTTGCAAACAGAAATACTTACAACTGTGTTTATACATTAATTATTTATCTATATAACACCTATGGAGGTTATTTGTGTAAATAGCGATTGACTATATGATGTAATATATTCTTTTGATCAAATCATAATCTCACATATTAAGTTATATAACTAGACATTAAAGAATTGAACATAATAAATTCTATTATAGCACTTCTTTACCTACGGTTGATTATTTTACAACATTGAGTGCGGTATTCATATATATTTTTTGTTTGATATTTATGGGGCTTTTGTAGGGATAACCTCGAATACCAGCACCACCTATGTGATTGAGTGCCAGCATAAATTATCTTTTTGTATATATATATATATATTTTTTTTTTTTACAGAGAATTAAAAGACAAGACAATATATATATATATATATATATATATATATATATATATATATATATATATATATATATATATATATATATATATATATATATATATATATACATATATATATATATATATATTTATATACAATGCCACAAAATATGTACAATAAATCAGAATAAGCACAAATCGTGCAGTCAACATATACTGGAACATATACTGGAACAGTCCTTTGGTATAAGGTAAGGATTGTGCAGTTACCACAAGTAGCAGGTAGGGCACAGATCCAGAGTCAAAAGACTAAATACACTGACACCAGGAAGCAAGATCAGAAACAGAATAAATGAACAAGGCTGCAGGGTCAGGATCACTGGAAATAAAGCAGAGAACACGGAACCAGAACACAGGATCGAAGGGTAGAGGAATGAAGGACCAGGAGGATACAGTAACGCAGGATCAGGAGGACACAGGACGAAGACCAGAAGAACACAGGAACGAAGATCAGGAGGCGCAGGACACAGGACACAGAACCAAGGAACAGTGTAACGGATCACTTGGCACCCCGACTGGGTACCTCCGTTGAAGGAGGCTCCTAGCGCTTCCTGAGGACTCAAAGCACTGCAGCAGACACCACAACCACCGAACCGGAGAAGCATACGAATGCTCTCAAGCATATGAATGCTGTAAGCAGCTGAACAGGAAAAGCATACAATCAGCATACAATCCAATTCCCCCAAGAATGAGACGACACTTCGTTTGAGGGTCAAGTAGAACTGGTTTACTGGGGCTAACTGCCCAGCTTTTATGCAGGTCTCCCACCTGGGGGACACTCCCCTAGGGGACCAGATGGGAAAATGGGAAACATATTGGACCTTAATCAATCACAAGCTTACAATCCCAGAATGCATCACAATCCCTCCTCTCTGTCCTGGAGATAATTGGGAAGTAATCCAATTATCTCCAAGGATAGAGGCAAAACTCCATTAACCACATGGTTGCAATAAAACACTAAAATACAATAAAATACATAATGTTACATTTGTCCCATAAAATATATACATTCTACATATCCCCAGATAGCTTAGATATGAGCGCACGTTACTACCCAATGGCGCTCAGATCACATACATACAGTCCAATCGCCATGGAGCCAAAGTCTTTCCCATAGTCTTTTGTTACACGAATAGGCTCCATGGCATGGCTATCTGGGGTGATGCTGCTCATATGGTCAAACTGCTGAATGAACAGTGATTTGGTTCCACTACCAAATGCAGAGGCAATGAGGCTGGCGACTCAGCGGTGTTGGCGCAATTAAGTGTCCATTTTCAGTTCCATGGTTTGGGCGCTGAAAACCTCTGGCCGCTCGGGAGCTAAAATGGCCGCTGCCACGTGTTCGGCAAACAAACAATGGCCACCCAGCGTTCATCAATGAAGCTGCGGTTAACCGCAGCTTCTGGGCGTTCAATTGGCGGAACACTCCAGTTCCCAGGTGGTCCATTGCTCGTTACTTTGTTCGGTAGGTTGAATCTACCGAACACCCCGGCAGAAAGGCACAAATAAACCTT